GAGATATTTTTCAGGATACAAAGTGCAAAGAGTCCAAGATTTAATTTCATCTATTTTATTTTTAAAACTTAAATATTAAACAACTGTAATCCTCGATACTAACCGCCATTCAAAAAGATAGCTAAAAATACCATCCGACAAATATGTGATTGCTGACCTTATTTATTAACTTAATTATTTTTTATCGTTACATTCAAAGTGGATTCTATTATTTTGAAACTTTCAATTAATTTATTGGCTATTGATAATGCAAAAAATAGTCTCACAAAAAATTAACAGTCAAGTGTGTAATAAAATGTAATTAATAGACAATTAATAGAATAATTAATGACAATAATGTAAATATCGGATTAACACACGGATATATAATAGTTTGGTTTAGATAACCTATTCTACTCCAAAAAATGGTAACAGTGGCCGAGAGACCTTTTATTAATCAAGTAAGGTGAACGAAAAAGAGAGCAATAGATAACTCCAGGAAGGATACAATAGTTAAGAGAGAGAAAATATTATGTGTGGGTTGTGTAGAGAGGTGCCTCTCCCATGTGGAAAAAACTTACAATTTATAAGGTCATAGTCTTAGTTGAGGTGATGAAGTGAGAGTAAAGACACAAGTTCTTCGGAGAGGATTGCTACAAAAGGTAAGTACAATTAAAGATTATTTTGATCTTCTGAGTATCCCAATAATTGTTCTTCATGTGCTCTAATCTTCTCGGATTTTTTTGGTCTTAAACTGGGTTGACTTCAGGAACTGAGATTAACCCACTTTGTAGGTGATTCGAGCTTAATTAATTGGTTGAGCCTAACCTAGTTGAATTTGGGCTCATAACTATAATACATTAAATTAATAAATTAAATTTAAATAATAAACTTCAAATACAAATGGTGAAGCTCATGAGAGGTTCATTCAAGTGTTTGCCTTTAATAATGGAAGTTTCCATGGTTATTGCTCACATGCATGCCTCATAGCAGTCTCATTAACTATAGTGACTGGACCACAATCAACTTGCCTATGTGCGAAGCTTACGTGCTTCTCATTCTGTATCGTATGGCACAAGAAAAATAATGTCTTACCTGTAAGCTTACAGATATTGAGTAATGTTAGACTGATCAAAATTTGGGATTAAATTTGAAGTCCAAATGATATGACAGTTGATTATTTGAAGTATTTATTGGGTCCCAAATGACATGACACCAATCAAAAAAGTCAAAGTCAACTGTCATGTCATTTGGATTCCAAATTTGATCTTAAAATTTGATCAGCCTAGCATTACTGAAAGATATTTGTCCATATGCCTACTCCAATTTAGGGTGGTAAATGATTAGAGTTATTCGCGCTCAATTTGAATTCGTTTTGTTTTGAGTTACACTTGAGTTTATTTGTTTAAAAAATAAGTTGAGTTTGAATAATTTTTTAGATCTGTTTAACTTGATTTAGGCTTGAGTTTGTAAAATTTGACTCATTCTTATAAAAAATAATCGAACTATTTGGACTCAATTTGTTTTAGACTTACCTCGAGCTCTTTTAAACTTAAATATTTTTTAAGACTCATTTTAAAAACCCAATTCATCAAGCTCAGACTCAAAACTTGTTTGTTTTTCTCGTTTACCATCCCTAGATTTAATCAATAAATATATATCATTAACTTGTCCCATTTTTATGAATAATTGAATAGGCATATAGAAGAAATGTGTATATTATGTAATGTAACATCAAATCAAATATCCTGTATTCAGTGGCGGAGGAGGGTAGGGCCAGGGGACTGGACCACCCTGAGTTTTTATTTTATATGTGTTTTATATATTTTTAAGATAATTTTAAATGGGTCCATTATAATGAGTTAAATAAAATAAAATAAATTAGGTCAAAGAAGTTAGGTTCACTATTATTTTTTTGGCTTGTTAAGCTGTAAATTAGGTTACAAATTTTTGAAATTTTATTGGTCTCTTTTTATTGTTTTTGAAAATTGACCCCAAGTCTAACCCTTTCATGAAAATTAGTGTTTTTCTTTTTTTGTTCTTTTTTCTAAATCTGTTTAATTAGTATAGTAAAATGTGATTTATAATATTATTCATGTCTAAGTTAGGTTATTATTTTTAATTATTTTTTATTTGCATAGAATATATGTATCGACTTTTTTGTTTTTAATAAATCTTTAAATATTAAATATAATGTAAAATATATATATATATATATATATATATATATATATATCATATTACTTTTATCTGTTAAAAGACAAAGTAAAATTTTGAAATTAAAGTGCGTCTACCTTAGATCATATTTCTGGCTCTGCCAGAATTGCAATGGTGAATCTATTTTTTGACATTTATACACTACGTTTTTTTTTTTGAATATGTATTTATACACTACGTTGAATTTAGTTTTAATTGATGCAAAGACTTTATAGTAATTTTAGATCCTAACTCTAATAATGCAAATTTGGACCCTTTTAAAACCATTTCCAGTGGGTTTGCATAAACCCCAAAACACAACACACACACCATACAGACAAGTAATCTTAGATATCTTTTTCATGCACTTGCTTAATAAAATCATCTCCACCAACCATCCAACGCCACCCCTTTTCGTGCACACCAATGGGTCGTTTAGTTACGGTATTAAAGGGTGGATTACAGAGTCATAACAAATTAAGACTCCATAATCTAACTTTATACTACATTTAATTATAAAAAATACTAGACTCGTTTGGTAGACGTATTATGAGGGGATTAAATATTGGATTATACTATATTTTATTTAACGGGGTCTAATACTTTGTTTGGTAAGCAAATTTGATATCATATTAATTTCAAAAACGTATATTAATTGTATACTTATCGCATATTTTTTGTACGATAGACATGTATTATGAAAATATTTTAATACCACCAAGAGAGATAATATTATAATTCGACTCAAACGTATTATTCTACATAGTTACTATTATAACCCTTCAAAAGATAAAATTAAGTTATCATCACTGTAAAAAACACTGATTAAGGGTATTTTTGTTAATTTAGCATTAATACGATAAAATAATTTTCTAATTAAACAACCGATTGGATTAAATAATTATATATAGTCTTATTTTAAATACTTATCAAATAATATACTCTATTTGTATTATTGAGCCAATTATAATACTACCTGGGGAGGTGATATTACAATCCAATTCATTATAAATTTACTATTTTACCAACAGATAAACAACAACTTTAATAAGTGGATAAGATTGATTATTTTTTAGTCAATATGTAATTGTTGTTCTCTTATCCCACTCTTAACCTAGTGTCTTACCAAACATTGTATTACAATGCATAATATTTTTATCTCTTATTTAATCTTGTATTTTACCTGCTTATACAGAATTAGCCTATGCTACTTAATACAATTTATTCTTTTATAATACGAGAAGCAAATGAGCCCAAGTGCATGTTTGGTTTGGATATAAATAAAGGATGGAATAAGATAAATGATTCTTATCCAATCCCTACAAATGGTATCCATAAGGGTATAATTTTATCCTATTTTTGGTATGTAAAATTTGGATCTAGATTAGTATAAAATATAAATTTATACTTATAATACCAAATCATGTTTAGATTAGGTAATAGTGTATAGTATTAAATTAAAAAATAATACTGGGTCGCTATCAAGGGCGGAACCACCTTATGCTCAAGGAGGGCACATGCCTACCCTCTAAATATTTTTTTTTTAAATTGCCTATATATTTTAAGTATGTTTTTAATATTGTAAATTGTGCCCACCTTATTTTTTAGTCAAGAGCATAAAAGACATGATATATCCATAAGTTTACTTGTAATTTTGATATTTATTTTAATAATTATCATAGACATGATAGAGAACACATTTGATTGTATAATTGAATGAATGATAAATAATTAAGTAATAGTATGATTGTAGATGTAAAGAATAATAAAGTTAATGTAAGGCTTTCAAAGTATAAAAATTCGTCACAATTAATTCTAAATAATTTTGATTAGTCTTTGTTTCGTAAAAGGATATAATTAGTCTTTCTTTTTTAATTTTTTTCAATTGTATCTACCATGCTTACTAATTTTAGTCTTTTGAGTTTAATAAATTTTTAAGTATTAAATATAATTTAATTAAATATAAATGCAATATCCTATCTTTAATCAATTGCAAGAAAAAAATTAAACTTGTTAAAATATTTGGTGCCCACTTAGAAAAGATTTTCTAGCTCCGCCCCTGGTCGCTCTAACCCATCAAAACTTAATATATTATTATTATTGGATTAAATTAATTCAATGCACCCATTAATATCTAAATCAAACATGCCCCAAGTGATGAAAATATGAATTTGAAAATAAAAGAGTGAGGTTTGAATTAGTTCGCTCTTTTAGAACAATTCGCATCCTTTTATAAAATAAGCATAGTACCGTAGGTAATAATGTGTTGTCTCTAATATACAACAATCCAACCCAATTAATTATAGCTTCACTCCGATCTACATAATTAAATGAAGCAGAAACTTCATACAACACTATTCTATTTATTCCAAAGAATTTATGTAGTGAGAAAAGATTATAAAATTATCATAAACACTATTCTATTTTTTCGAAAGAAATTATGCGGTGAGAAAAGATTATAAAAAAACAAGAGTATATCTGTTTGGCTTGAAACAATTGATTATATGCCATAAAAGATGATTGTTGATATAATATATTTATTTCTAAAATAAATTTTAAAAAATAACTGTTGAGAAATAGTTGTTAGACCCTCCACTTTTTTCACCTCTACTCAATGTTTCATTCAACATAATGATTAGGTAGTACTAGTATAGTATATAAATTCAAGATTTTTTAGTAATTTAGTCGATGTATAAAATTAGTGAAGTACTCTTTTATTTATTATAATACTCTAACACCAAGTTAGCACCTCCACTCCAGAACCAACTACACCCCCGCCAACCCCAACATATATAAAGGTGTTGAATCATATTTGGATCAAATTTAGTATATGAAAGATTGAATTTCCCTCATAAAGGTATCGGTTCATATTTGAATCAAATTTTTAAAGATTCAAATAAGAATTCAACTTGCAAATTCAAATATTTATCAAAGTTCTATCCCAGCTCTTCTCATACGATTAGTTGGTTATTAACTTTGGTATGATTAGTTTGTTATCAAAATGGTAAAAACTTTATAATGACAGAATATTCTAGTACTTAATACAAAACAAACCTAGCTTTCATGAATAATTAAGAAATTCAAATTTGGGACCAACGAAAAAATTCAAATCCTAATAAGTGTAAAATTTAAATCCCAATAAACCAAAACTAACATGGTGAAAGAAATTAAAGACCCATTTAACAAATAACATTTATCCAAAAAAAAATATAAAATTTGACTACACTCACACCCAAGCTCGACCGGGACGACGATGCGGGCAGCCAAACGCTGCCATCCACAAAAGTAGAGTGCTTCTTGAGGTCCGACCCCAACCCCTAAAACAAACTAGAAATATATATGTTCAATTAAAATTTAAATAATGACACATTGAATTCACTGGTTGATCGCTATATTAGTTTAACTAAATTTGTTTCCTAAAAGAGTAACATACACGGTCATACGCCTCATGATCCCACCAATAAGGACTTATCGAGATGGTTTTTAGGCGCTCTTCTTTTCTTCAACTCTTTTTTTTCAATAGCAAAAAAAAATAAAAAATTAAGTATTGTGAAGTTGATNGTTAAATTTGTTTCCTAAAAGAGTAACATACACGGTCATACGCTTCATGATCCCACCAGTAAGGACTTATCGAGATGGTTTTTAAGCGCTCTTCTTTTCTGCAACTCTTTTTTTTCAATAGCAAAAAAAAATAAAAAATTAAGTATTGTGAAGTTGATGTTAAATTCCATATCTCAATTTCTATTTCCACATTTAAAATAAATTATATTAAAATCTATTCTCTCATTTATCTTTTATTGAATTTGACCAAAATTTAACCTGTCCCTTCATTTATTTTTAAGAGCTCGGGAAAAGAAGCATTCGATGACTGCCGGAGACTTTGGGCTTGGCTTGGAATGCCAATGGTTGCTTTGAATGAATGTGGAATGAAAATTTTACTAAAATTTCACTCTAATTTATAATCAAAGTTAATAAAAAAAAGAGGAATGCTATGCTGATCAAATTTTAGACCCAAATGATATGACAGTATATTATTTAGAATTTTTATTGGAACTCCAATGACATGACACCAAATAAAGAATTTCAAATCAACTATCATATAAGTTAGATTCCAANAATATGACAGTATATTATTTAGAGTTTTTATTGGGATTCAAATGACATAACACCAAATAAAGAATTTCAAATCAACTATCATATAAGTTAGATTCCAAATTTAATCTCAAAATACTGTAAAAAAAAAAAAATCAGTTTTGGGGTTCTTTGATCCAACAGCACTGTCTGGAACATGCAAGCCCTACCAACAGTTCACCACTACATAATCATCAAATCAAACCAAAAACAACAGCCGAGTCCATTGCATACAGGCACTTAACATGCAATGATCATACAATCAAAAAGGAACATANGATATGACAGTATATTATTTAGAATTTTTATTGGAACTCCAATGACATGACACCAAATAAAGAATTTCAAATCAACTATCATATAAGTTAGATTCCAAATTTAATCTCAAAATACTGTAAAAAAAAAAAAAATCAGTTTTGGGGTTCTTTGATCCAACAGCACTGTCTGGAACATGCAAGCCCTACCAACAGTTCACCACTACATAATCATCAAATCAAACCAAAAACAACAGCCGAGTCCATTGCATACAGGCACTTAACATGCAATGATCATACAATCAAAAAGGAACATATGCATGTTAGTTCTGTTTCTATGTGCAGTTTTCCTCCTACCATCTCTCTGGGAAACACATCCTATAAAAGCAGCAAGCAAAAAGAGTTAGTTCAAAACCCAACTAAGCCTACCCAGACAGATAGTATTTAAGAGCCTTGGCACCCTCAGAAATGGCATGGTTCCCAAGCTCTCCGGGCAAAACCAGCTTTACAGCTCCCTGAATCTCCCTCGACGACAGCGTCCTCCGATTGGTGTATTTCAGAAGCCTCGACGCCTCGTCGGCGAGTCTCTCGAACATATCATTCATCATGTTATTCAGTACAGTCATTGCCTTCGATGATATACTCATATCAAGGTGTACCTGTTTCATTACCTTGTATACGTACCTAGTGTACCCTACACCAGTGTCACTGCTTCTTCTCTTCCTTTTCCTCTTCCCTCTCTCTCCTCCTCCTCGTCGGGACTTTTTCTTATCTGTCTCCTTTCCTTCTTGGGTTCTCCGCTCCTCATTTTCTGTCACTTCTTGGGTTTTCTTTTCCTTCCTCAGTTCTTCTTCCTTAGGGGTTGGGGGTCCTTCAAATTCAATATTGGGGGGAGTTTCTCGAAGAGGAGTAGCTTCTATATCCTCAGAGATTTGCTCTTTTTGGGTTTGTTTTTCCTGTTCTTTTGCCTTGTCTTCAACAACAATATTGGTCTTCACAGGCTCTCTCGCTTTCTCTGCTGGCCCTTCTTGTTCTTGTTGTTCCTCTCCTTCAACAAAAATGACCTTCACATGCTCTTTCTCTTTGTCTCCTTCCCCTCCTTCAACAATAATGGTCTTCATAACCTCTCTTTCTTTGTCTCTTTGGCCTTCTTGTTCTGGTTCCTCGCCTTCAACAAAAATTATTTTCACAAGCTCTTTCTCTTTGTTTCCTTGGCCTTGCTCTTGTTCTGTTCCCTCGCCTTCAACCAAAATGATATCCACAAGTTCTTTCTCTTTTTGGTCTTGTTCCTTGTCTTCAACAACAATGGTCTTCACAAGCTATTAAATATATTAAATGATGTATATTTATCTGTTTAGTTAAGCTAGAATTAGTTTTATAATTAGTTAGCCAGCTGGATGCAAGGAGTTAGTTTGTTATGCAAGCAGTTAGTTTGTTATTCTAATTTGTATATAAGGTTTTTCCTTATACACGATTCTGTAACTGCTTATCATTTTTAATCAAAGAAGATTTTCTCTCTATTTTTAATACAAGCTCTCTACCTTTGTCTCCCTCGAGTGGCTTTTGCTGGTTTTCAACTAGAACTTGAACAGTCTCTTCCATAAATTTCTTGGTTTTCTTCACCACTGTGCTCACCACCTTCTGTAAACTCTTCTTCGGAGCCATTTTTCTTAGGGTTTGCTCTGGCTTTTTACCTCTTTGAAGCCGTTTTCAAAGTGTGTGCTGATAATCAGTAGGTGATTTCTTGTTTGGATTGCATAAATTACAGTGTTCAGGGCTCTAGAGGTTGGCACGTGGAGGACAGATGTCTAGAAACTTTCAAGTGAAACGGCTACGTGGGGGTTAAAAGTGAAAAAGGTCCGAGGTTTCTGGAGCGAAGATTAAAGATTTTGCTGAGAAAGGGGAAGAACTATCTGGCAAAATTTTGGGATGGGTAATGCTAACTCAAATTAGTATTTTGGTTCAATGTTTTTACCAAATTTTCGTCTCAAATGACGTGGTATAGTTTTTTACTATCAGACAAATGAGTCTTATTAATATTTAATAACAGAGATTGTGTCACATCATTTAGAATAAAAGATTTTATAAAAAATTTTGGAAAGTATAACATTTTACTTTTAAAATATGTGCAAAAAAGTTTTTCCAAATTAGTTACCCGAAAAAACTTATAAAGAAAATACTATTGGGACATACGAAATTGCTTATTAGACCATCTTTAATTTTGATTTAAATTTAAATTAATATTTAAGTATAAAACTTAGAGATTGTTTGATAATACCATTTATATCTTAAAACTGAATACTTTAAACACTTAATAAATTAAACATGTTTGATAACCTGAAACTCATACTACTTAATATTTTGAGTAGTTATTAAACATAGCCTAAAAATTTAAGTAGCAAGTTATCTATTTATCACTTAATGCTGAAAATGTTAGTCATTAAAGATTTTATCAATTTTTCATAATGGATAAATATAATATTACCACCATTGTGTCATCGCCACCATCATCACCGCTACCATTACAACTACCACCATTGTTCCACTGTTACCACCACTAACATCATTGTCGCCACCACCACTATTACTGTCACCACCTCCACCATCATCACCACAACCACCGTCACCATCATTGTGTCGTCGCCATCACTACTACCATTATGTCACCACTATTCTACCACCACCACCATCATTGTGTCACTGCCACCACCACTGCCATTACCATTGTCGTCGTCACCACCACCACCACCACCACCTTCACTACTACTACCACTATTGTGCCACCGCTACCTCCATCATCACTGCTGCCACCACCACTACTACCACTATTGTGTCACCGCCACCACTACTATCACTACCATTGCCACCACCACCATCCCTTGCTACCATTGTGTTGTCTCTGACACCACTATCACCGTCATCAACATTGTCGCCACCATGCTTGGTTATTTTCATTGTAGTATATCCTAACCTCCGAACATCATCCCTCAATGAGTATGGTCTATGTGTGGAGGGGAGTGTCACTCTCCCTTGAAATGATGTCAAAAGAAAGAGCAATGGAATGGTGGGTGAATGAAATGTGTGTGTGTGTGTGTGAACAAAAATGTTCCCAAAGTGCAGAGAGACTTTTGGTTGCCGTGTTTTAGTTGGAATCGTATTCCAAAGTTATCTCCTCAGGGAAGGAGGTGTATCATCATGAAGGTGATTTTTTGTAAAAATAAAGTGTAAAATATTTTTTTGGTTGAAGGTTGGTTGTGATGAAAATGAAATAGAATAAATGTTGGCTAATCCAAAGGGTTCACTCTAATGAGAATACCAAGTTAACTCGAATCTTTCCTCCAATAGAGCGTAGATATACAATTGATTTGTAGGAAACTAGAGATGAGATGGAAGTGAGAATCCAAGTATAACTTGTGACAAGTCTACAGGATATCAAAGACTAACAATNATAGATGTACAATTGATTTGTAGGAAGCTAGAGATGAAATGGAAGTGAGAATCCAAGTATAACATGTGACAAGTTTACAGGATATCAAAGACTAACAATCCCGTCCACCCTCTACTCAGTCAAACTGAACCATCGTACTCTGAGTGGAGGAAGAAAAATGAGTTGAAATGACATACCCAAGAGGAGGTCTCCCTTGAATTAGCCAACTTAAAGGCTTAGCTACTCATGCTTAAGCTAAAGACAACAATGTAATGAGAAAAAATTATGAAAAAAATGAAAATTGGAACTAAACTAATGCAAAGAAACATAAACTAAGAGAATTTAATACCCATTTTAAAAATAAGAAATTGAAAGAAAACGAAATGCATAAATATAACTTCTGGATGATTTATACATATCCATCACCTCTTTCTAAAGAGTGAATGAGAAACTACTCACTCTTCATGACTTTGGTAAAGCTAGAAAAGTGAGTGATGCTCATCCCTCAAAGTAAAAAAATTACAAGGTAAAACACATTACACAAGGAGCCGATCTTCAACAAAAAAATGAGTGAATTACGTTCTATCCTTACAACTTTGGCAAACTCTAGAAAAATGGAAGAATTTCACTCTTTTAAGGGAAGAAAGAAGCTTAAACAATGAAAGTGAAAGAAAATAATAATACAATAAAATAAAAGCAATACTTAAAGTAAAAGAAACAATAAATTAAAAGAAAGTAATAATATAATAAAAGAAAGCAATACTTAAAGTAAAAGAAAGCAATAAAGAAAACATTAATACTTTTGGAGGGTTTTTCACTACTAAAAGATGATACTTTATAAGTCCTAAGGGATGGTATTTATAGGCAACCAGGGAAGGTGAAAGTCTTGTTTGATTGCTTTGAATTACACTTTGATCCCCTTCTATTTTGAGCTTTGACAGTTGGCTCCCTTAATTTGTAACTTTGACAGTTGGNTCAATGATTAAGATGTGAAAACCTATGAAACCAATAGAAAACTTGAATTTTTAAGTTTGACGTTACATTTCTTTTTTTGGAGGAATGACATTTTCACCCCAAAAAATTTAAGAAATTTTATTTATAACTTCAAAGATTTGATTTCTTACATTGCACCTTAAATATATTAAAAATNCAATTTAACTTATTTTGACTTTTTTAACTTTGTTTAACTAACACAATTGACCTATCAATTTAATTGAATTATGCATTAATTAGGGTTAATCACACCACTACCATTGTACTACTGCCACCGCCACCGCCACCGCCACCGCCACCGCTGCCGTTACCACTACCACTATCACCACCATTGTTATGGTGGTAATAGGAATAAGGTAATTGCAGAGAGATGATTAACGCGAAATATTAAATTAGAATAATAATAATTTTCAGACTTCGACTCCTTATATTTGTCAAACAATTTGATTAAATACAATACTTAAATTTCAGTTGATACCAAACAGTTTGTTAATAAAAAAATTCAGCATTTGACACTTAAAATTCAAGATTCAGTTTTCAGTGTTCAACTTTCAGTTTTATTAAACACCACCTTAGTTTGACATAAAACATTTCAATGAGAAAATTCAAATGTAAATAAGGACAAACTCAAATCTGGTAAAATATAAATATTATATTTTTTTTTAAAAAAGATGAAATCTTACTATTAAAACCTTCAGTTTTCCTTAAGTTGTGGAGTGAAATACTGAAACTTATTTTTAACCTGTTTTTACTTAAATTAAAATTTGAGTCAAGTATAATTATATGAGTATATATGGAGAGCTTATTGAGCCGTAACAATATTACTCAAGCTATAACTATGAGTACTATTAGATAGACTTAAAATTTAGGTTTAAAATTCAAACTTGATAACATGGTTGCTGATTTGTACATACCACATCAGAGAAAATATTTATTATAAACGGTGATACCACGTGGTAAGGTGATGTAGTATTATCAACTAATAATATTAAAACAAATAAGCATATGAACCCTACAAAAATCAGTAACTAACATGTCATATAAACAAATAACTTTTCACTGTCCTGCCATGTAAGTTCAAGTGTGGTTCATATTTTCTATTTAGAGTTTTATTATTGATTGGTGATACAATATCATCAATAGTGACATGATATCACTTTTGCATTCAATATATTACTCTATCATGTCATTAGTTTCTTTCCTCACAAAAAAAATTCAAATTAAAGAGTCGGATTTACTCTCTCCATCGACAAACCCAAGACCTTCCATTCTCCCATCCCCTTCGTCTTTTCCCTTTCCCTTCTCTAAACCAAATGGAATCAAACCAGTGTGAAGCCGTCGGCAACAATCAAGATTTTCTTCTTCCCCATGTCACCATCGGCGTTGTCCTTCCCTCTTCATCTACCTTGACAGACCTAGCCTTTCTCCTTCCACTCTTCATTTTCGCTGGAATACACAGTCGTTGAGCTTCACAACTCCGGCAATCAATGTTGGCCACAGACCCAGGCGTTGCCTTTGAAAAACCCAGTTGCTCATATTTTTTCCTCCTTTCCTCCAAAGCCTATATAGGATTCCTCCCATATTCATCTCTTCGTCGAAGTCACAGTTGCCGTAAATTTTATTACGAGTGTCTCTCCAACGATTGTAATTCCAACGAATAAATGAATAGGGGAGTAGAATTGTTGGGAATTTGGGGAGAGGAGGGAAAAATTCGACTCTGTCCATCAATTTTTTGGACGTGTTTTGTGCGCGGGTTTGACTTCAATTGTGGAGAAAACCTAATTTTTTAGGTTTATTTTTTTAACAAAAAGGGGGCAGAGGACGAGCTGATGATGTGGGATGTACACATCAACAACCACATTATCAAGTATGAGTTTTAAGTTTGTCTGGGATTATGAGAGTATTTCAAATGAAAGTTCTTCCTCCACGATATTCCGATCAATTGGAAGGGTTTCAACAGTGATTAATTTGGAATTAGGCTTGTTATGTTGCGACAAAGGACTTACAATGAGATAAACACACATTATGTCATTAAAAATACTATTTAAATTTAATTTATTGACCTTATTTGTTGACGTAATGTACCATAATCATTAATTTGACATTGACTCCCAAGTAATCCTAGAGTTCACTATTAATTCAATAAAAAGGATTCTTTGAACCAATTGTTTAATCTTTTATCTTTCTATTCTTGCTCGTACCAGTGGCGGAGCCACTCAAGGACCAGGGTAGGCATGTGTTCACCCTCTATTTTTGTCTTATTATTAGATATTTTTTTTTAAGTATATCTAATTATGGCATCTTATTATTTTTTTTTAGAAAATGTTATTGAAATCTAATTTGAGAACTTAATCTAATATAACAATTGAATTAGAAGTGAGTTTCATATAACCTTACAATTCACAACTAATTCAATGACTATATTAAATTAAGTTTTTATAACATTATTTTATTTTCTTATCATATCAATGTGCATATATTCATATCTAAATGACGAATAGTGGACACACTCTGAACATATTTGAATTAATTTGGACATATTGAGTTCATTTTAAATTTTTTTGATCAACTTAACAATTTATTATTGATGTACACTTTAGTATTAAGTTTAAAAACCTACCATAGATTTGCGATATTACTTACAAAATTTTAAAATAAAAAATACATGGTATATCATTTAGTGTACATATATGTGATTTTGACATTAATTTTTTAGTCATTAATAATAAAGTCATCAAACAACACTATCAAATTATGAAATTTTTTTGGTTCAATTGTAACTAATTACAATTAACCTTATTTTCAATAAATGACTATAATTAATCTCTTTTATGTTGTACACATATATGTATAAAAAAATTTATGAATCATTGATGAAATGAATAATATGAATGTGTCATCTTGTTTTTATCGATTAAGATAAAACGTGTTAGAGTAACCATTTTGAAACATTTTTCTAGCTCTGCCACTAACCCATACCGATTCAATCTCTCATGAATAAACGTTTCTCTTAGTTAATGGGTTTTGTTTTTGAGAGTAAATCAACTATGGAAAATGCTATGTTGCCCAAAGTTTTAGTCCAAATCTTTTATCCCAAATTTAACTTTGTGGTGCACATGCATTTGAAGTATAAGATTTAGATTAAAACTTGGGCAGCAAAAAATAGTAGTGCTCATCCACTATATGTTTCCAGTGTTCATTCATTTATGACAATCGAGTTTGTGAAAGGTGGGTTTGGAAATATCGTCCGAATTGTTTGGAGGCTAATTCCCAAAGAGAAAGTCAGCTCTCCCTTCCCGTTAATAATAAGATAAGCTACATAACGGACGAAATCCCCAATCGTGTCTTACTTACAAGCAAGTCTAGAGCGGGAGAGGCTTTAATTTTATAGCAAATTCNATAGTGGACACACTCTGAACATATTTGAATTAATTTGGACATATTGAGTTCATTTTAAATTTTTTTGATCAACTTAACAATTTATTATTGATGTACACTTTAGTATTAAGTTTAAAAACCTACCATAGATTTGCGATATTACTTACAAAATTTTAAAATAAAAAATACATGGTATATCATTTAGTGTACATATATGTGATTTTGACATTAATTTTTTAGTCATTAATAATAAAGTCATCAAACAACACTATCAAATTATGAAATTTTTTTGGTTCAATTGTAACTAATTACAATTAACCTTATTTTCAATAAATGACTATAATTAATCTCTTTTATGTTGTACACATATATGTATAAAAAAATTTATGAATCATTGATGAAATGAATAATATGAATGTGTCATCTTGTTTTTATCGATTAAGATAAAACGTGTTAGAGTAACCATTTTGAAACATTTTTCTAGCTCTGCCACTAACCCATACCGATTCAATCTCTCATGAATAAACGTTTCTCTTAGTTAATGGGTTTTGTTTTTGAGAGTAAATCAACTATGGAAAATGCTATGTTGCCCAAAGTTTTAGTCCAAATCTTTTATCCCAAATTTAACTTTGTGGTGCACATGCATTTGAAGTATAAGATTTAGATTAAAACTTGGGCAGCAAAAAATAGTAGTGCTCATCCACTATATGTTTCCAGTGTTCATTCATTTATGACAATCGAGTTTGTGAAAGGTGGGTTTGGAAATATCGTCCGAATTGTTTGGAGGCTAATTCCCAAAGAGAAAGTCAGCTCTCCCTTCCCGTTAATAATAAGATAAGCTACATAACGGACGAAATCCCCAATCGTGTCTTACTTACAAGCAAGTCTAGAGCGGGAGAGGCTTTAATTTTATAGCAAATTCAAACTAAATACATTAAACGTGTGGAATTTGAAATTTGAGTATGAGGTGTGTGAATGTACCCAAGTTGTTTAGTAACAAGAAGTTCATCAACAATTTTGGTACAAGAAATTTTATTGTTATTTATAATCTTGGAATGACAAAATTACAAGATTCGTGTCATGACTAAAAAGACAAAGTTATTTAATGTTGTACTTGGTTGGAGCACTATTTTTTTCATTTCTCCTGGCTTAGTATGACTAAATGGCAAAAATTACGTTGGAGATTTACATGATTTGGACAGTAAACCAGGTCGAAGTGCATACCAAATCCCTGCAAAAGTTCTCTTTATTGTTTCCATATCCTCGAACTCGATTGAGCACACAGAGTTTCTAAGTGAGATTAGAAACACAATTTCATACAAAAGTTTTCAGCAAACTGATTTGTTTGACGAATATCATGAATATTATTAGACACCCCCTCCCAAAAAAATAAAAAGGATCTTATCACTTTAACAGAAAGGGATCAAAACATATGCATGAAATTGTTATTCCTCATACTTTTTCTCAACAAATGTTTCCTAAGATTCCTACATGATGTTCTATTTTTCCATAGAAAATCCATTTCACATTCAAGAAGGGCTCAGAAATATAATGATAGTACTAATTCAGAAGATTTATTATGGAGAAACAACTCAGTCTAGATTACTGTAAATAACTCGATTATAAATAATTCACTTGCTTAACGACTCATGCTATGGGTATGAGAGCATCAACTTACAGGTTTTTTGAGGAGAGGGAAAAATGGTTAGGACAATTATGAAAGATCTCGGAAGCCAGGATGCAAGCCAATTTCATCCGATTCCAATAGATAAATACTTAAATCATTAATATAGACGGTATAACAAAGGAGATTTTCTTCAAACCATGACCATTGCTATGAACTCGAAAATTATCAAGGGATATTAAATGTGCTTAGGAATAGTATATCATTGCCAATAACCCAGTTATGAAAGGGGTAAATAATTATATGACTTAAGAACAATAAAGAGAAGTAAAAACAATTCTACAATAATAGTCGGATTGTAGGCTGTACATACATAATAAGTGCCCCTAGTCAAAATAGCAGATAACATCCAATTTTTCCAATTCCACAATTCGATCTATGATTTATCATTCAGATGTACGTTGATACAGTGAAAGTTTTCATTGACTCGTATGCCTCTTTTTCAGGGAGCAAGGTGCAACCCTAGAAAGCTCGGGCGATGAACTTGATTGGAAGAACAACTCTACCTCCTCACCTCTGTCGACTTCAAAGAACTGCAACTCCGGAAACTTTCTCTTCTGGAAGATTACCTGCTTTCGCTTTCGCTTTCGCGGTGGCGGAGGGCAGCTTTGATCTATAGGAATCTTGGCTGCCTGAGAAGTTGGCGTTCGACACTCCTCATCACCATCTTCTTCTTTGTCAATCTGTGGCAAACTTAGCTTGAATATTTGATCTTTAGGCATGGTGAAGAATTACAAACCTAGGCTCCTGAGATACAAGAGATATAGAGAAATAGACGCAAAACGTGCACAAGGAAAGAGATAGAGAGAGAGAGAGAATTTTGTCTTGTATTATTTCTTATCTGATGAAATGTATATCTTCTCTCGTTCACACCTACTTTTGTTGTATTATTCATTTTTCCATCATACCATGTTTTTTTTTTAATTTCTAGTTTATTTTTTTTCTCTGTAATTTTCCATAATTTAGGCAGCGTGACAGTCCTTGCACAGAATTATTGAAAACCATAACTAAACATTGAATATTATATATATACATATATATTTGTGATCATATGTATGTTGAAACCAGATTACATTGTGAACGATGATTAAATCAGTCAAACCTTACAAGTATACGATGAGATATATTGGTTTAAATTATCCAACCACCCATTCAACTATCAACCCATTCAACTAATGATTAAGATGTGAAAACCTATGAAACCAATAGAAAACTTGAATTTTTAAGTTTGACGCTACATTTCTTTTTTTGGAGGAATGACATTTTCACCCCAAAAAATTTAAGAAATTTTATTTATAACTTCAAAGATTTGATTTCTTACATTGCACCTTAAATATATTAAAAATATTAAAATGTGACCTTTCCGCTAATTTTTGTTACTTATTCCGTAAAAAAACTCCCATAAATATTAATGTAATGAACAACGAAAACTAAATGAATTGTGACATTGTAACATTTTTAATAAGTTAATGGTATAATATGAAAGTTTTAATATTTGATAGTAAAAAAAAAAAGTTTTGAAATTTTTTGGAGTACAATTCGGCATCCTTTTTTCAACTTTTGATAATTGTAATTTTTACTTTTGCGTATTCTATGAGATTTTTACACACACTCGACAACACATTGGCGAGAGAGAGAGAGAGAGAGAGAGAGAGAGAGAGTGTGTTTTGAGGTAAACGGTTGAAAATGGCAATAGCAGAGGAGGCAGTGGTTTTAGTTTAGGTAGCTTCTAGTTAGGTTAGGCTTACGTCCTCCGCATGTAACGGGCACAGTGGCCTTACCGGCTCTCTCCTCCCCTGTCATGTCAATATCCCTCTCTTCCATGTCCGTATGTATACAAGCTGCATAGGATACCCTTTTCCACTTGGAATTTTAATCAACGGCTGATATAGACATTTTAAATTATTGGAATTTATACTGTGTTACGTACATTTTTTAACAGGCAAATTCTCTGGTGAAAAAAAATTTAATATCATATTAAAAATTATTGCTCAAGTTGTATTTGTTTGGATAATTATAATTTTAACATTTAAACGTTATTAACAATCACAATATTTTCAATAAATCATAGCTCTCATGAAGCTCCGTATGGATATTTGGTCCAAAATAAAATGTTGTGATTGGCTGCTGAAAGATTAAACCAAACACATCTACAGAAAATTTGAACCACATAGATTACTCTATGACGTCCCTAGGGGGACTTGTTGAGAGTATGAAGCAAGCAACTCAGCATGAACTGCGGGTCCGTCGCAATTTTTTTTTTTTTGGATTTACTTCGATGTCATATTCGAGTGATTCTTTGAACAATTCAGAAAGAATGTAGGCAGTATCAAACAAGTGAACATATGGAACTGGGTCCTTTGCAATTTCCTTTTTCTTGTCATTTTCTACTGTAAACTCCTAATTCCATTCTTTCAACAATTCAACAGTTAATTCTTTGGGTTCAACACATTCAGCGCTCCCGGTTCTTCTTTTTCCAATTTTGTTCGGTTTTAGCATGGTATCGTGTGAAGGATTAGGGTATCGTAGTTTGTTTGGTGAAATTGTAATCGACACTCGTTTTTAGTAAGGTGTAAACTTATGTATGCAAAGTTATTACCTGTCCTCATTATTGCGATTTGGAAGGAGCAAACTTTTGTGCGCAAAGTTATTACCCGTCCTCGTTATTGCTATTTGTGAGGAGCAAACTTCCTCAAGTTCAAATATACAAACCTCAAAGTTATCGGATAGAGTATTTAGTTAACTCTATATTGATATTCAGGAGAGCTACCAAGGCGAGGGAAGAAGATTGGTCTGTCCCTTCGATGTGGTTCTCTTTTTCTAAATCGAACCCTCTCTTGAAAAAAGGAAAAAAATAATAATCAGAAAATATGAACACCAATAGAAACTTTTAACTTCTTGGAGAAGGATAACACTTTTTTTTTGTTGGTAGCACTTTAGCAATGACTTGACTATGGGGTCCTCAAGTTCCACAACACTACCCAATTTCTGTTCAACTAGATGCGATTGCATGGTAATATCCTTGAATTAGCAATTGCTGGGAATGGAGCAAATATTCTGTTGGTAAAAATTGGATGCAAATAAAGTAAACAACAGGGTGAGGTGCGGACTAGGTCGCTCTCTTAAGAAGATTCGTGCCATTTTATGGAAGGATCACAGCACAGAAGATAGTAGCGCGTCGTTTCCAGGATACAACAACCCAGTCTATTGACTGTTGCTTCACTCAAATATGCACAATCGAATGAAGCAGAAGCTTCACACNGCCTAGGCTCTTGAGATACAAGAGATATAGAGAAATAGACGCAAAACGTGCACAAGGAAAGAGATAGAGAGAGAGAGAGTTTTGTCTTGTATTATTTCTTATCTGATGAAATGTATATCTTCTCTCGTTCACACCTACTTTTGTTGTATTATTCATTTTTCCATCATACCATGTTTTTTTTTTAATTTCTAGTTTATTTTTTTTCTCTGTAATTTTCCATAATTTAGGCAGNAGAGGTTTCTGGAGCGAAGATTAAAGATTTTGCTGAGAAAGGGGAAGAACTATCTGGCAAAATTTTGGGTTGGGTAATGCTAACTCAAATTAGTATTTTGGTTCAATGTTTTTACCAAATTTTCGTCTCAAATGACGTGGTATAATTTTTTTACTATCAGACAAATGAGTCTTATTAATATTCAATAACAGAGATTGTGTCACATCATTTAGAATAAAAGATTTTATAAAAAATTTTGGAAAGTATAACATTTTTCTTTTAAAATATGTGCAAAAAAGTTTTTCCAAATTAGTTACCCGAAAAAACTTATTAAGAAAATACTATTGGGACATACGACATTGCTTATTAGACCATCTTTAATTTTGATTTAAATTTAAATTAATATTTAAGTATAAAACTTAGAGATTGTTTGAAAATACCATTTATATCTTAAAACTGAATACTTTAAACACTTAATAAATTAAACATGTTTGATAACCTGAAACTCATACTACTTAATATTTTGAGTAGTTATTAAACATAGCCTAAAAATTTAAGTAGCAAGTTATCTATTTATCACTTAATGCTGAAAATATTAGTCATTAAAGATTTTATCAATTTTTCATAATGGATAAATATAATATTACCACCATTGTGTCATCGCCACCATCATCACCGCTACCATTACAACTACCACCATTGTTCCACTGTTACCACCACTAACATCATTGTCGTCACCACCACTATTACTGTCACCACCTCCACCATCATCACCACAACCACCGTCACCATCATTATGTCGTCGCCATCACTACTACCATTATGTCACCACTATTCTACCACCACCACCATCATTGTGTCACTGCCACCACCACTGCCATTACCATTGTCGTCGTCACCACCACCACCACCACCACCTTCACTACTACTACCACTATTGTGCCACCGCTACCTCCATCATCACTGCTGCCACCACCACTACTACCACTATTGTGTCACCGCCACCACTACTATCACTACCATTGCCACCACCACCATCCCTTGCTACCATTGTGTTGTCTCTGACACCACTATCACCGTCATCAACATTGTCACCACCATGCTTGGTTATTTTCATTGTAGTATATCCTAACCTCCGAACATCATCCCTCAATGAGTATGGTCTATGTGTGGAGGGGAGTGTCACTCTCCCTTGAAATGATGTCAAAAGAAAGAGCAATGGAATGGTGGGTGAATGAAATGTGTGTGTGTGTGTGTGAACAAAAATGTTCCCAAAGTGCAGAGAGACTTTTGGTTGCCGTGTTTTAGTTGGAATCGTATTCCAAAGTTATCTCCTCAGGGAAGGAGGTGTATCATCATGAAGGTGATTTTTTGTAAAAATAAAGTGTAAAATATTTTTTTGGTCGAAGGTTGGTTGTGATGAAAATGAAATAGAATAAATGTTGGCTAATCCAAAGGGTTCACTCTAATGAGAATACCAAGTTAACTCGAATCTTTCCTCCAATAGAGCGTAGATATACAATTGATTTGTAGGAAGCTAGAGATGAAATGGAAGTGAGAATCCAAGTATAACATGTGACAAGTTTACAGGATATCAAAGACTAACAATCCCGTCCACCCTCTACTCAGTCAAACTGAACCATCGTACTCTGAGTGGAGGAAGAAAAATGAGTTGAAATGACATACCCAAGAGGAGGTCTCCCTTGAATTAGCCAACTTAAAGGCTTAGCTACTCATGCTTAAGCTAAAGACAACAATGTAATGAGAAAAAATTATGAAAAAAATGAAAATTGGAACTAAACTAATGCAAAGAAACATAAACTAAGAGAATTTAATACCCATTTTAAAAATAAGAAATTGAAAGAAAACGAAATGCATAAATATAACTTCTGGATGATTTATACATATCCATCACCTCTTTCTAAAGAGTGAATGAGAAACTACTCACTCTTCATGACTTTGGTAAAGCTAGAAAAGTGAGTGATGCTCATCCCTCAAAGTAGAAAAATTACAAGGTAAAACACATTACACAAGGAGCCGATCTTCAACAAAAAAATGAGTGAATTACGTTCTATCCTTACAACTTTGGCAAACTCTAGAAAAATGGAAGAATTTCACTCTTTTAAGGGAAGAAAGAAGCTTAAACAATGAAAGTGAAAGAAAATAATAATACAATAAAATAAAAGCAATACTTAAAGTAAAAGAAACAATAAATTAAAAGAAAGTAATAATATAATAAAAGAAAGCAA